CGTTTAGTAGTAAATCATATTCGGGATGAATCCGGACTGTCGCAAAGGTTTTGGTTTTTGATGTGTTCACCTCTAGGCCGATCTCGGGGACCTGTCGACTGATGCGGTCGACGATTACTTGGAGCTTAGACATGTCCTCACCAGAAACGACAATATCATCATCATCCGAACTCGAAGTCGGTGAGCCATAAGTTCGGATAGATCTAAACTCCCTGGTATCCATCCATCGAACGACCCATGATCCAGTCAACTGCAACGTTGAACAGCATTGGGGTCAATGGGCACTCATGTCACACTCCTAGTCCTAGCCCGAACGCCCATGACTCCTCTCCGTAGATGCGGATTCGGGCGACAGTGTTAGAATAGTAGGATCTCATTAAGTTGACAATTTTACCTGGGACACTATCGGCCAGAACTATTTTCCAGAAGGATTCTGGATCTACGGAGTCGAATGCCCCACCAAATTAATGAAGCAGACTGCTGTGGGTTGTTGAAACTTGTGGCGATGTTCCAAGAGCCGACGTAAAGTGAGTATTTGGTCGAAGCAGCCCACACCGGAGCGGAATCCCTTCTGTTTAGGACGAGTGCATGGGTGTACTGTTGCAGCAAAGCGGTTCGGTAAAATTTGTGCAAAAACCTTGGCCGCCACGTCAAGTAAACTGATGTCTCTGTAGTTTTCGCACATTGCTTTGTCACCATTTTTAGGGGAAGGTAGTAAAATGGATGTGGTCCAGTCATTTGGGCAAATTTCGGTTTCCCAGGTTGTAAATAGTAAGCGATGAAGAGGGCTTAAAAAGGCTGAGGAACACTATGCCAAAATTTCGGCGGGTACCCCGTCCTCACCGGGAGATTTTCGTTGCTTGAGATGGTTGATGATAACTGAGACTTCTTCTACTGATAGCGGAGTTCAGTTACCTTTGTATGGAGAAGATGGTACGTGCGGAAGTTGGATTTGAGGGCAACTGAGAAGAAGACTGAAGTGTTTTACCCACCGAGACATTTTTCCTTGTGCATCAGAAATGAGCTCACCGGAGGCGCTGCGCAACACAGAGTGAGTGACCTATTTCTTGCCTGATGCTGATCGAATAAGTTGGAAGAGGATAGTCGTGTTCCTGAGGTTGGCCGCTGTCTCCTTTTTGTAGCCATTTCATTCCAGTAGTGGCATCTATCGTGTTTGGTTGATCGTGTTGCTGGTCGTCTGAGATCGCGATGAGCAGAGGAATGAGTCAGACGTGCCTCTCGGGCCGCATTAGCCAACTGGATGGTGCGGTCCAGTTCTTCAAATGACGTGACCCAGTGCCTACTGCATGTAGATCAGCTTGTTGTGCCGACCACTTCATCCTGGTCCACCGAGTTTTAACCGAACTCCCTGTGTTTCCTTGAGTACCGAGGGGATCGGTTGACAGCTGTGCAGTTATCATGTTCATCAGTGTTTGGTATTTCTCCCTGTTCTCCAGTGGAAGCACATTTCGACGTCTTGAGCGGACGGTCTTCCTGCGAGTTATTAGATTTAGCTTATCTTTCGCGCTAATTAGTACGTGATCAGATTCACTTTTGTTTCCGCATTCAGCCCCGCGATAGGATCGACAATATTGAAAACCGGTTCTCGTAGCTCGGGTGAGCTGAATTCTATTTCGTCTGTTCCCCGAGCTTGGCAATTTGTTTGCAAACGTTTCATCACCAGCCGAGGTGACATCATCAGTGCTCGTGAAGTGGCCACTTCACAGTCTTCAATCGAAGAAACCCATCGTGAATGGATGAGGACGTAATTTATTTGATGTGTTTTTCGGCTGTCGTTGGAGTACCACTTCAGAAGATCCTTTTTTGTACTGTGAAACCGGGTGCTGGTAATAAACAGTCTATTACAATCGGCGAAGCAAAGTAGTCTATCACCATTCTCGCAGCGTTGGCCCAAGCCAAACCACCCTAGGATGTGCTTCGTGGTATTTTCTTGTGGGCCAGTTCGACCGTTCCAGTCCCCTGCAATGGCGAGTCCATTCTGTTTGGGTACTTCATTAACAATCCATTAAAGGCTGCCATAGAACTCATTCTTGACGTCATTGTCAGATGGGAGAGTAAACAGGGATTACTGTGAGGTTTACTGGATAACTCTTGAGTCGTTCTACTGCAATCCTAGAGGATATTTGTTTCCAGGAAAGTGAATCACTATTACCCCGATGGCTTAAAGCAAGTGCCACTGCGTGTTGACCCGACATTTCGTTGCCGCTGTGCTATAGTCAGTCCTGGCCATCGAAACCAGGGATTTTATACTTTTGGAGTTGGAGCCCGTCAATCGAACTTACAATAGGCATGCAATATCCAGCTGATAGTCACGCAGCGCATGAATCGTTAGTGTCTGACTCCCGGCATCTAAGAGAGTTCTTAAGTTCCAGCATCCAATGTAAGAAGTTTTGCGTGGTTTAAGTTGTCCGGTGCGCATACTTGTCACCCGAGCCACTGGAGGAGCATAGGGCGCGTCGCTTCCCGGGAAAGCCGTAGTATGATTAGCAAAGCAGGTTGAGTGAATATCCATGAACTTTCTTGGGAGTTAGGTACAGGAAAGGTCCCCATCGTCACTCACTTATGCCTTTGCTTCTGTTAGTTGAACGCCAACAAAATGTACAAATTCTCCATTTTGGCGACGATTGTTGATGCATCAGTTGTAAAATCACAAAGTCCGTGTAAAAAACGCAACTAGAGTCTATTTATCAGAATGCCCGAAAGAGTTAATACAGAAATTGTACTTTCCTGTCGTCGATGTTCTATTCACCTTCCACTTATGAACACTCCAGGTAGACGCTTTTGTGGTGGACTCTAGTCCACCACGTTGACTGTCCAGCAGAATCGGCCAGTTTGCTACAATACATACCGCACCCTCATCACTGACCGCCACCGTAGAGGCAGCTAACTCCCCTTTGTTTCTAACACATGAAAAAGTTTTCGATTTCATTCTAATCCTAACTGCTGGAAGGTGATAGAATTAATTCAACATTGGTCTTAACCCACCCAGAAACTGCATAGATGCAAAAAAATAATATTTAATGAGGTCAAACCGTTTTCTACTACCAACCTTAAGTGAGAAGGTATACCAACCTTCATTTGTGGATAGATGACTTCCGCAAATGCATTTGGAGTGTGACATTTACCAAACATTTCCCTTGTCAGTGCAAGAAATGTTGCGATATACAGATCCGTGTGCAGGAGACCAACAACAAGGTGCTCAGTATTTAATTCCCTCCAACTGTTTAGGTGAAAAATATGTTTACTTTTTCTGTCAGGTAAAATGAAATTCTTTTGAAAGCCAGGTCAGCCTTCTCTGCCTACTGAATTACTCGTTAGCCACCAGTGAGATAAACTCATTATCAAATGGAGGTTAAAGATAGCGTGATCTTCTGGTTCATTCGTAAATTTTATTGACGGATGAGCTTGGTTAAAATGATCCAATATTATGTGCAGTAAAATACTTTGACCAGAAATGATAAAAATATGGCTGACATAACGTCATTATTGTGGCAGTTGACGAATGGTTTCCTGTAGTTTGTTGTTTTCCAGTTTGGCTGCGAACATTCCTTCAGGAAGCGTGTCAAATGGGGAATCCATGGCTACACCGTCCATTTGTCAGTAGATTGTACCATTAAGAGAAAATTGTATAAGACGCAATGATAATTCCTTTCGGTTTGCTGTTGGAATTCAAATTTGTATATATTCCTTCACTTGCACATGTTTGGCAAGTTATGTAGGATCAACGATGAGACAGTTCTCACAAAGGATCGGAGAACATAAACCGGATTGGCTTAGCACTGGTTGCAAGAAAACAAAAACCAGTGTGATTGTGGCCCACCTGGTCGACACCGGGCACCATACAGACAACGATACATTTAAAGTCATCTACAAAGTTCCCCAAAAAACGTACGTCACTTGGCAACAGCAGAAGTAGTAGCAATCAAGATACTGAACCTACCACTTTGAGAACAAAAGAAAATGGTTGTCGCACTCCAGTTGCCTTGGTCCTACCCAAACCTAAGTGACGAACCGAACCATGACCTCAATCATGTTGTGATGACGTAACATGGCGTGACAAGTCAGACATGAAAAAGGTCATCGAAATTTTTCAGAATTGACCTTGGTCCCTCTTCTCTCTTTTCTCAATTCGCTCTGACTGAACATGACAGACAGTGTTGTACTATTACATTTAACTTTAATGTGTTAAACACGGTTATTTCTACATTATATGTAAACACATAACTGTAAACGCCCGAAGAAGAAGTTACGAAAACAAGGTGATTTCCCAATGATGAAATCCCATCTGTCGACCGTCATTTCGTTCACATTTGTTATCTTGCAGTTCATAACTCCAGCATTTACTACCTCTACCGTTATCACATCCGCTTTCTCTGCTTTCTTCCCTCTGTCATCTCTATAAACCCAACTGCAATCGGTTATTCGGATATATCTGCTTAAAGGGCCCTAAATATCTCACCGTCTGATGTGATATATGAAAAGAAATCATCGAAAATACTGTTTTCTACATTTGCTATGATAATATTCAATGAAGTTAACATACATTTGTGCGCTTGGGTATGTGTGTGGTAGGATCTTTCATGGGAAAATATAAATCCTTTCTTCCTGTTCTTCAACGCTGCATCATTGAGTTTAAGGTAAATCAACCAGTTTATCTCTAACTGGTAATTCATTTCTGACTTGACTTCTCTTTATTATTATTATCATTAAATAAAAAACTAAAATAATATTTTAGTTTTGGTTTTGAGAATAATCAATTAAAGGGATACCATAAGATACACGTAATTGCAATAGTTAGAACGAGCTAGGTGTTAATCTGATGCAGATATCTGGGGGACACATCACTTCCACTTATAAGACAACCAAAAATGCATAATTTTCGCGCCAAGTTCTCAGGTACTTGAAAGTCCTTTTACGAACGTTGTCAGAGAAAGAACGTTAAGAATGGTTCACTTAGTTTAGTCGGGCAAAAGCGAGTAGCACGTAACGTGGTTTTATCTAAAGAAACAATAACATATTGTATCGCCGTCGCCACCGACTTTCAGTAAAGGCGGCGGAAAAGTTGTATGCTCCAAAGATAAGAAGCGAACTAAAAGCTCATATTTACCTCTTTATTTATAATGTACCTTTAGCATGTTATGTTTTCATGAACAACGGAGCCTTGTCCGTTCCCTCGCAGCCCGTGCAAGAAACGTTTGCACAGAAAACGGCTTAGCACAAGAATTGTAGAATATAAAACAAACACTCATATCTAATGGTTACCCGGAACGGTTCATTCAAAAAACCTATCCGAAACACCCAAGAGACCTCCAATGACAACAGTGAATAAGAAAGACTTACACCTACGACTCCCATTTACGGGAGATCACAAAAGTGAGCTAATCACCCGGCATTTAGAAAGAGTAATCACACGCATATTTCCGGTGGAAAGTTTACACCTCCAGTTCACCAAGCAACCGATTATTTCCATGAACCCCAAAGATAAATTGCCTATTTCTACCTTCCCTATGATTACCTACTCATTCGTTTGTTCATGTTCGGCAAGCTACGTAGGTACAACCATCAGGCAGTTTTCCCAGAGAATCAAGGAACACAAACCAACCTGATTGAGTACTGGGGTCAGAAAAACCATCTCAAGTGCCATTGTGGAACATCTCGCAAATACGGGGCATACTGTACATGAAGATGCTGTCAAGGTGATCTACCGGGTGCTCCCTTTTCCGTCCAAGGCTGTTCGTCAACAACATTCAGCAACAGCTGAGGTACTGGCTATCCCATCACTTTGTTCTCAAAAGAGATTTTTTAAAGCACTCCAACTACCATGGCCACGTAGTGAATTCAATCGCCTGATTACAACTGACCAGTTCCACGACCCCTTGATCCTTTCGATTGACCCTGTGCTCCAAACAGGTGATGGTTAACCTCGACTCTGTCCTAACCGTCATGCGACACATCTCTATTCCCATCTACCCTCCACCGCAATGTTTTTTTGTAAACAACATACAATCGAGTAATTGTATCTATCAATTCAATGCGGACACACCTCAAACATGATGCAAATGTGATATGCCTAGTACCTATTTATATAACTGTATTAGCCAGACGAGGATGTTATCGAAAAGAAGCTTGTTCGCTATTTCGTGTTTTCTCAAATGTCACAATAGGAATCTTCAAAGAACAATAATATTAAAGAAAACAACGGTAATTTATTGGCCTCTGGATTAGCTTGTACTTTGTTCTAACCTGTAATAGTCCTTCAGAATGCGACAGCGATCTTCATATCGTGTCAGTTCCAGTTGCATGAGGCATAAATAAAGATTGGTCAACTGGTATAACTTTTCCGTCAGCCATCCAGCCGGATTCAAACATTGTGTAATCCGATTCTCATTGGCCAACTTATTTTCATCCATGACTTCATATAGTGTATCGCGTAAGTCGTCTACACGACAGTGCAAATCAGCTTTGGTTTCCTCATCCGCTCGCATCTCGCTGAGCACAATGTTAAAAGACTGTGGGAAAAGGGAGAGAACGGATGTGTTTGTTTGATCATATGAGCACGTACTTGAATAACACCATATGTCTACATGGAAGGGCTGTCCAAACAAGTTTACATGATGTTGTAAATAAGACGTTTGTGACGAAAATACATTTTCTGTGTACAGGTATATGAGTGAACTGATAAACGATTACCAAATCCACATGCCTGGGGAGCGTCAAGAATCGTAAAAACAGTATTGTGCTTACTGTAAAAATATTTATTTCATACACGTTTGAGTCTGGGCTGTGTCAAACCAAATACAATAATCTGGGTAAAACCTAAATGTCGAAATAGTCCCACAGAGCACATTTCTAACAAAACAACGGAGTGGTGAACAAGTGCCAATTTACAGATTCGTATTCATGCCAATACATCTCTTTATATATCAACACTTGGAAATAAAATTGTCTTGGGAAAACTAAATAAAATCGTAGATTACTAGAAACGCTTTTATCATGAGAACGGAAATCGGGTTCACCACGATCACATGTTTTTCCTCTCATCCGATCATCGTGATACCCCCATGATTTGTATGTGGGCAAAAGAAACTGGATATAGGATGTTTGAGTAAATTACCCCTCAATCATGATGATCAAATTGGTCATTGGTTTGTAACACAGAAACTATGATAACAAACTAATTTATACTGGTTCTAGAAATTACTGAACAGATTTATTGTATGTTCGCCGAGCCGGCCTAAATGTTTGTTATGTTTGGGTGTGTTCTGTTGCTGTTTGTCCAATAAGATGATTTTCGCACAGGTGACCTGGTCTACTTCTCTCATTTCAGTCCAGCGTTAAATTCGTCCTAACGAGTTTCGTGTGAATTCAGCTCTCATCCAGATCTGTTTATAGCTTGAGACATCCTGTTGTGTATTGCGTCATATGATCCCCAAGTTGCACATATATATATAAAGATGTATACACAGATGTGATCCAGTTCAAAGTGCCCGTTCAGTGAGTTGGTCAAAGAAAGTGAAGCTTTGACGAATTTTCAACGTATTTTAAATGATCAATAATTTCAACTGACTCGAAATCTAATTTCTCTTCTTTCGAATATAAATGAAGTGACGTAAGAGAGAACGAATTATTCTATCATTCCATTTGTTGAATACTTTGAAACCCTTGAAGATCAATTTCTTCTAGTTTGTCCGAAACAGTTCTTTGAGCAGCCTGTGCAATTTATTGTCGCCAAAGATGAAACTACCATCTTTTGGGTTCAAAAGATACCGACCCGAAACAAGAACCCGCTATATTCCATTCCGCCTGTTCGCCGAGCTTGGCAATTTGTTTGCAAACTTTTCACATCATCAGTGCTTGTGAAGTGTTCACTTCACGAGCACTGATGATGTCACCTCGGCTGGTGATGAAACGTTTGCAAACAAATTGCCAAGCTCGGCGAACAGGCGAAATGGAATTCAGTTCACCCGAGCTACGAGAACCGAGTTTCAATATTTTGTCAACCGGCTATATGTTGAGGACTTCAATTCTGTTTTCTTTAGACGATCACTCTTTGTTCACCGAGGCATTCTTGGTACATGGCAGAGTTGTTCTTGTCCTTGATAAGCCATTCATTATCTATCTGGTAACATTACAGGTGCCGTCGTGGGGAGGAAAGTTCTGAATTCCTGTCTTTCTTCGTTCACTTCGAGCACCTCGTCCACAAACCAATGAACCATTTTGGGTGCATCTGACCTCTTACATTTAAATCCAGTAAAGCCCAATCACAAACATGTTCCCAGTTGTCCGGCTCGGTCCTGGTGACCACTCAGGAGCGCATGTACCATCAAAGCCTCTATATGAATAAATCAGTAAACTAACCCTGAGTTAACTCGCAAGGACAGTTAGTACTTCACTAAATCAAAAAGCAATTAGTGATATATAAAATGTGTCAATAGACAATCTGATGAAATGTTTTTGAATAAATCACTGACAGCCTCAAGGTTCAAATATAGTATGAAAAGCGATGTTTTACGTGACATCAGGATTATTTACCAAAGTCGAAATGAAGATAGATCATTAGTTAACAAATAACTTACCATTTCCAACTCAATCGGCGGTGACATACAAGCAGCTCATTTTATTTGTGAAGGAATTTGTGCAATGGTCAATATTTAGTAGTAATGAACAGATTCAAACTAACCATAGTACAAATTCCGGTACAAAGAAAATGCATCAAGAATGTGAGGAATAAACGAATCTTCAAAGGACAGGACCCGCGTAGGGAAAACAATATACTCATCTCACTGTTTGTATCTACCCATAATTGTAGCTGATCTTAAAGACAATCAAAGGAGTAACATAAATCAAATAAAATTACTGCCCAGTCAAAAACTTAAGAATCTTTCTTTTATACACCATTCCAAAATTCATAATTGGTTCGATGTGACTCGTGAGACATCCCCGAAAGTTCGATTCATACACCATAGACACTAACATTTATTTTTGAGTAATTATAATCAAATGTCTAACGAGTGACTTGATGCCCACGTTTAATTATTATCCAGTTTGCTTATCCATAAATAGCGTCGACTGCATTTTCGGCGTAAAACGACCGTTTGACTTCCGGACTATTCACTGTGAAATAAAATGCCTAAAGATCTTCAGGTCGCGGCCAAAGTGCTATTTTACGGGGTATCAAATGGCGAACTTTGAAGAGACTCAAAATTAACTAAATTATAAAAGATTGCTTTTTGCCAGCCCAAATGTTGTTTATTACTTTTTCGCTGAAAAAGATAACTTACATTCTGAAACTCAGTAACAAAAGCTTGTTTGGAATCCGGTCTTTGCAGGTAATTGTAGAACTCGCTTCGAGCTTCGTAGATATGTGGAATAAATTTCCAGCGCACGTGGCGAAGCGCTCGAAATATCAGTTTGACATTTTGACAATATGCGGTATCGGACTTTTCGTACAGGTGCATCAGTATCTGAGCGGATTCCTGAAGGAGAAAATCTTTATAGTAGTCACCGGTTCATTGATACGGATGTCATAAGCTTTTGATGGAAATAGTATAAAATGTGAGTGCTCAACTCAGTCAGTAGGCGACAATGAAATTTGTGCAGTTAAAACGTAAATGATTTGGGTAGAGTTTGACAAGGAATAATGTAAAACGCCGACACAGCTACAAAACTATATCACAGGTTAAAACCCCCCCGGAACAGGCCACCTCCAGGCACAATAAGCTGACCGTTTGCATCTACGCTCCAACGAGGAATGTAGTTTTACTTTGAAAGGTCTGCTATCAAACAATAAAACGAAACGGCAATGTATAGATACTAGAATAACTTGTGGCTTGAATGATTAGTTGTTCTTGGTGGTCATTACATAAGTTACTTAAGATCATCGCCTCAAATTAAAGCACTTCTTTAATCAAGCATTTGTTCTAGATCCATATATTTATCTTGTATTCTACTTCTTTTTATTTCTTATATAATGAAACGATCTTCAGGAACGAGGAAGTGGCTAATCAGAGGGCTTTGATGCAACACTCAGACAAAGGGTAAACTCAAGCGATGCTGGTTGGGTTCAAACACGTCCTGGGGAGTGATAACTTAGGATCTATATTGTTTGATCATTACCACCAAAGAATATTGCCATTTTCCATGTCAGTAAGAGACCTTGACAGTTAAATGTACAATCACCGTTCCCTTAATCAAGCGGTGCTTAGCTAAAAATGGTTACCGTTTTGTCAAGTGTTTTTCATCCTACGTGATGTAAATGCTGTGAGGGTGATCGTCAAATCGGACCAATAACTAACCCACAAGCGAACATAACCATTAAATTATAAGCACTTGGATAGTCTACTACTGGGCTCCTAACATTTATCATGTTGGATACATTCCCCACTCAATTATCAGAATGAGTAGAGAATTTACATATCTTTTTAGATTTCTTGAGGAAACGTTCGCTTTCAATTGTATGCCTTCTAGGAGTGTGCGGCAGGTTAGAATTCAGTAATTACATACAAAAGTGACTTTCAGTGCTACCTATTACTGCAGCTGATACGAAATGTCATCATGACTATTTGGACATGCGATTCATTTTAGTCTTACGGTATCACTTCCCTCTGTGATCGCAAATGTCAATCGAACTAAGACCGCGCATGGAGAACCGAATCAACTTTCAGTGGTGTATACTAGCCCAGAGTCCAAGAACTTCTAAGGTTCGACTAAATTATACCAAACCCAGTTTCTTTGATGTACAGTGGGGCCGCAGTGTCAGCACGGTTATAACGAAGGGGAAAACTTTCCACGAGTTTAAAAGCTGCATGACGTAAGAAATGAACAGCAGAGACACAGAAGACGTTTATTTTTAAAAAATGTTATAGCCTCTTTCGAATGGTTCTCTGGTATATCCTACCACTTATTATTCGCCTCCCCTGTTGGAAAATTCTTAGAACCCAGGTACTGAAAGCCGAGACACCTCCTTTCGCACTTCAAGTTGGCCGAATGAATTTCGAAATGTCCCGCAATCATTTCAAGTTGTCCGAGTGTGACTTCAAGTTACCTTGTCGACCTCATCGGTGCTGACAAGCCTCACAGCGGTGACTGAATGACCACTATGCAGCACAGATTTATCTAACGCCCGTTGAAGCGCAGGGGACGATTGTGAGACGTGCCTCGGTCATACACGCCTCAATTCCCATGGCGTACATATTGGCTATTTATCCTGCAGGTACGCGTACGCGCTTCTGTGTGCGTATTTTCCTCCTTTCCGCTGATACCAGTGAATAATCAGTGATCAAGGTTTGAGCCATTGATTACCTCTGTAGCATTGTGCTGCAATAGAACTCATATGCTACACCTCAAGCGGTTGCACTGGGATAACAATCGATCATGCTCGATCGATAAACGCATCAGTGTTGACCTGATTCACACCCAGTTTGTTCGACACTTTTAGGTTATATTCCATCTCTGTGGTACCAAAATCTGAACGTAACACGTAGGGCTCTGTTCAAACACCAAGCAAGGAGTGGATGTTATTGAAAATGTTACTTTATCAAGGACAATCGTCTGTATGTTGATGTTTTATTCATCTTGACCTCAATTCCGTACAAGAAATATTAACTCATCTGATGATCTGACGCGGCCTTCAAATTTCGGCCGTGCTACATTTGTGCTCCAGTGGATAGTTCATCAACTTTTACGTCACACGTTGGAGTTACTTATTTGAATCAAGTTTCTTTCATCGCTTTCATGAATATACACGCCCCTGAATTTTGAAAGAATTTGAAACTATGTATTGTCGCGCAACAGTGTCACTCTCTATCAGTTCAGTCATCAAGTTGAAAATAGATGCAAAAGATGCAGACCGTCTAGATCAGGTTTCCTCAGAAAACATCGAGCAAGCGGGCAGGTGGCTCTACGTAAAACAAAACCTCAGAAAATATCTATCCCTGCCATTTGCTCATCAAACGTACGATGACTATCTGGAAAAATGAGCGACTTCACGAAATTTATGAGGATTAAAAGATATCATGGATTGGGGATAAATATGCTGCAAGGAACATGGTTGTATCATGACCTCAACGACTCTTTGGTTGAGCTGGATTTCTTTTTTGATATGCATCGGTTGGATAGAAACTGTTTACTACGGAATCGAGGCGGCGGTCTAATGACCTACACCAAATCGTCTCGGTGTAAGTCTACAAAGATTATCTTCACCTACAACGAAGGATATATCTCATGTCTTTCGGGTGAATGTAAACCCCGTTTTCTACACTGCACGGAACGCTCTCTTTTTATATTTAGTGGTGATTTTAACCATGCAGATATTCATTTCTTGACCTTTCTCTCTCTCCATAATCTTATAAATTTCTCCACCAGAGGATACGCGCACCCTGACCTCATGTTTTCGAGCGATCCTGATCTGTTTGCTGTGCGGAGAGGAGCCCTTCTAGAAAACTCCGATCATTGTATCATAAATGTTTTGCCAAGTCTACTGAAAGGAACATCATGGTAGACACAAAACTAGCCGGAAGATTTTGCTTACGTTGTGCGACCCTGCCCATTTGGCATGACTAAGAGAAATGGTCTCGTACAAATTTTGATCACTTTTTTGACCCGAGTGTCTCGGTTGAGTCTGAACACCACACGAGACATTTGAACTTCTGCTTTGAACTCTTCTGTCCCATGGCTCCTATGTACGGTCCCACCAAACTTTCTCCTCCCACTTCGGAGTCCCTCAGAAGAACCAAGGAACGGTCATATAAAAATCTTGATCGAGCTTCAGTTAAACAAACGACCGTGCTGATCAGGAATGAGATACAAAATCTTGGCAAACTCTACTCTGAAACCCTACTTGATGACCGGAATTACCCGCAAATGTGCAGTGCTATGAAAACATTCAGTGTAACAAAAGTCAGACTACACGGGCCTCAGCTCACAGCAGATGAACTGCATGTTTTCCACGTCAACTCAAAGTGAAGTATCGTATTCATATTTCCAATCAATTGACCATTATGAACTTTCGCGTGTCAATTCTAATCAGATGCAGGCCCAGCTGATGTGCCTCTATGTCCAGTCGTCCTCAGGGAATGTGCACATTATCCGATGGAGCCACTTTCCAGTATTTTCAACCGCTGCTCGAATAAGAAAACATCTTCGACCGTTGGAGACCCATGCGCATCACATCAATCCCAAAAGAAGAAGCTGGTAAATTACGACCAACCGCCTGTACTTCTATTTCACTTAACATTTTCGAAACGTTTGTGCGTAGTAGCACTATTCCCAACACTGGGCAGCTAGATAACAACCAATTCGCTTATCGCAAACAACGTTCTACCTAAGAGCTCTTGCTCATTTGGAAAACTCAGTTTTGCCATCCCTAGACATGCAAGGCACAGCATTTTGTGTGTGTTCCTCGACTATAGTAATACTTTTAGCTATGTTGACAGAAGTAGGCTTTTGTCTATACTCCAAAGCCCTGGATCGTCCCATACCACCCTCTCTCTACTCCAAGATTATTTTGCTAGTAGGACACAATTCACGAAGTTTCTTGGTAAAACTTCTGACTCCCTACCGGTCAACTCAGGGGTGCTCAAGGAAGCAATTCTGTCCCCCTTTCTTTCCTCTTTCTGTATTTGTAACCTTCCCGCTGACCCAGATGATCTTCTAATTAAGTATGTTGATGATGTCACAATATGTTCAATGTTTCAAGGTGATTGCCACTTCTCGCAGTTTCAAACCAGCTTATCTGCCTTAAGCTTATGGTCTTCGTCTTCCAATTTATCTCGCAATGCTTCTAAATGTAGGGATGTCACTTTCTCGCTCGCCAAATGGGGACCGGCTACATTCTTTTGAAAGGAATTTTTCTGTACTCTATGTTGACAACCACCCTGTTTCCCCAGTACATTCTCTGCAATACCCCGGTATCATTATCTCCCAAGATCTCATCTGGACCTCACATTCTACTTTTGTAAAGATGCGACGATGGTGCTTCTTTATTTCTCGCTTGCTTTCTTTGAAAGTTCCACTGTGTTTACTCACCCGATTTGTATATTATTTTGTTGTACTCATCTCTACTGCTCCCCAGTTTTATTTGTCGGTCTTTGAGTTCAAGATTACACAATTCTTCACCGGTCTAATAAAATTATTTCTCGCATGAGCTGCATTTCATTTTCGCACTTGCTTAACCTTATTGCAGTTAAACAGTTTACTTCTTCGATACCTTCTCCAACAATATTCTATCAAACATCACTCACCCATTACACACAGAACTTAAACGATGAACTGGTATTGACCAAACTCGTGCAACGTCGTGATTTTCATCACAATTGTTCCTCTCAATGCTTCGTTTTCCCAGACACATTCACGAGATTGCATATAATATTCCCCCACATCAGACGCAACAGATCTGTCATAATACCCAATTAAATCAATGCATCTATTAGCTGCATGCCAATAAAATGTACAATTTCGTGATTTCAACGATTTTTGC